GAATTCGTGGATGAAACGAAGAAAGAAGCTGTCGAGGAAGAAGCTCGCGCACGCGAGGCGCTAGCAGAAAAGGCGAGAGACATCGACGCAGCTAAAGATAAAGCAACTGCGGAATTAAAATCAGTAAAAGATAATGTGAAAACTACTGTAAAAGAGACAAAGGATTCAGTTTCTGGGAAAATATCTGAAGGAGTACATAAAGCATCAGACGTAGGTAAAACTGTAGGTGGAAAAGTTATCGATGGAGTGAAAATAGTAGAAGCAAAAACAGAAGCAACTGCACGAGACATTGCTGAAGGTGCTAAAACAGCTAAGGATAAAGTAGTTACTGACGCGAAGGATGCTAAAGATGCAGTTACAACCGCTGCCAAAGACGCCAAAGATAAGGTAAGCAAGAAAGTATCCGAAGATGCACAGGCGGTTACTAGCATTGGTAAAGCAGTTACTGATAAAATAGTTGAAGGAGCCAGAGACACCGAAGCAAAAGTAGAATCAGCTGCACGAAGCGTGGCTGATAATGCGAAAGCCGCAAAAGATAAGGTTGCTGAAGAGGTCAAGGAAGAGACTGAAATGGCAAAACGAAAGATAACATCCGGAATAGACACAGTGGTGGATGGCACAACAGCTGCAAAAGATAAGGCTGGAAAGGAAGTTAAAAAAGCCAAAGAAAAGACCGGTGGTTTTCTGTCAGGATTGATTAAAGGTGTCAAACACACAGCAGATGAGGTTTCAGGAGACGTCAGAGAATTCGTTGATGAGACGAAGAAAAAAGCCGCTGAAGAGGAAATGCGTGCTCGTGAAGCACTTGCTAGCAAAGCAAAAGAAGTTGACACGGTAAAACAACAAGCTGTTGCTGGTATGGAAGTCGCCAAGGACAAAGTTACAGCTGGTGTAAAGGACACTAGGGACAAAGTTAGTGAGAAAGTAACTGGTGCCGTGCAAAAGGTATCTGATGCTGGTAGAATTGGCGGCGATAAAGTTATCGAGGGAGCGAAAAGCGTAGAAGCAGAAGCAGAAACTGTTATACGAGAAGTCGCTGAGGGTGGTAAGGCAACTAAGGATAAAGTAGTTATGGATGTAAAAGATGTTGGAGAGAAAGTTTCAACTACTGCAAGGGATGCGAAGGACAAAATCAGTCAAAAGGTACTTGGTGCTGCATATGCTATATCGGATGCTGGCAAAGCTGTAAGCGTTCAAGCTACTGATGCGGTTAAGAAAACGGAAGAAAAAGTAGGAACAGCTGTTCAGGGTACGACCGATGGAGCGAAAGCAGCGAAAGAAAAATTGGTCACAGAAGTTAAGGAGGATGCTTCTATCGTAAAACAAAAAGTCTCATCTGGAGTGGACACAGTCGTGAATGGAGCAAAAACAGCGAAAGACAAAGCTTCGAAGGAGGGTAAAAAGGCCAAGGAAAAGAGTGGAGGCTTCTTTTCTGGCCTCATTAAAAGCGCAAAACACGCTGCGGATGAAGTATCTGGCGATGTGAAAGAGTTTGTCGATGAAACGAAAAAGGAGGCCGTAGAGGAAGAAGCTCGTGCCCGAGAGGTGGCGTCTGGAAAAAGAAAAGATGTTGATGCTGCTGTGGGTAAATCCGTTGCAGATGCGAGAGCTACCAAAGACAAAGTTCAAACTGGCGTAAAAGAAACCAAAACCATAGTCAGCACGAAGGTGTCTGAGAGTGTACAAAAGGTATCGGATGCCGGCAAAGCTGTTGGCGAAAAGCTGTATGATACAGAAAGATCTTTCGAAGAAATGTTACCGAGTCAAGTAGAACAAAGGTACGTCGTAGATAGCAGCCAACATAAAAGCGGCGTAACTGCATTTTTAGAAGAAATGAATCGCGATGCAGCGTGGGACAAAGTACAATTTCAAGACGTTCATTTGTACGAAAACGTGGACACCATGTACGCCAAGCAAGCGAAGCCCGAATCAAGAACTCTAAAACATGGGAGAGACGTGAAATCTACGACAGAAATTGTTACCCCTTTAGTTTTCGGTACACACGATCCTATTTTTGGCGTAGGTTCCGAGGCACAGCTCAGATTGTCCGATGTAAGCACTAAAGACGATGATCGTGTCAGCGAATCGATACCCAAGAAAATATCTCGCATTCCACAAAAAGTTAGTTCCTCGAGAGACCGATTAACTAGCTCCAGTAGTTCGTCGGATAGTTCCAGTAGTACGGTTAGAATAGTAAACGTGATTAGCGAAGTAGAGCACCTCGAGCCTCACACACGACAGACCGTCACCACAGTCGTAAGAAAGTCTGTGCGGACGGCAGCGACCCCACCACCCAGTCCCGCCGAGTACACTGACAGTAGAATCGAAGGTATCTTGCAATAATTGCGTTATCCATATTACATACCAGCTGTGTGTAACATGATTAATTAAGTTGACGCTTTTCTATAACTTATGTTTTGGTAGTCATACCAAAATGGCCAAAGAGGCCATTGCACTCTGTCATTCATAATGAACTCTAACACTTCTGATTTCAATCACTTTTAGTGTACTAATGTTTATATGATCTTTTATAAAGCAAGAACGTCGAACGTACTATAAAGTGAAACAGCGTGTTCTTTATCTTCATTGCAAAAATAAAAGAATAATGTTTATCAGGAATACGTGATTTAGTAATAACATAAGAATACTATGACTTATGGTTTTGTTTAAAATCTGTTTTATTCTTAGCGTACACGTGTATAGACAGTTTATGTAATTATTGATCTAATACATGCACTTTATAGTATGAGAAATCTAAACGAAAAGAAAATACGTGATCGACCGTAGTAAAAGACATATGCAAAACAACGTGTTTACATTATTTCTATTTATTTGCTGTTATTATTTTCAGTTTGTGCGTTTTAACTTTTTTAACATTTCTTTAATGCATGTTTCCAGGTTTTTTATGCTATATTTTAATATTATCCACGATCAAATGTTTTATTATCCATCGATAATGAGATTATCGGTCCAAAGCAACAAAAACCATATTTCTCACTATTCATTTCTTTATTGTTATAGCATAACATAAATACGTATCATACGTTATATTTATTATATAGTAATATATCTCATTGAATTAACAGGAAACCACAACTAGCGAAGCATGAACCGAGGTATGCCATGCAGGGAAAACATCATTCATCTAATCTTTGTCAAATCATTGCTTTCAATGTTTAAATTGTCATTATCCGTTTTCTTACATCACGTTTACCTACTTTTTCAGATGTTACCGAAGAGGCTGCAAGACGAGCACAGAGTTTAGCCGATCAAGCACTATCATCGACAAAATCAGGTAACGTATGGCCAAAGAAAGTATAAAAACTCACGAACACAGATCGCAGGCCCAAGATCAATACATTAGCAGAATCTATTTTGGTGCCCTCATTTATATTTAGCTTTATCTTCCATAGTTAGCACCTGCCGACGCTTTCACACTAATATTGTGCGCACGTTTCTTACTAAATAGATACCTCTTTGCGGCATAATAGAGTAAACGTCATCGAGTAACGGTAAAAGTTCTGTTCTTTGTACGACAATTCGAATACTTGGGACGCCTTCGATCTATCTTCTATATAGCAATGTCGAATAAATAAATGTTTAGTTGAGACGACGTAGCTTAGAGAATTTTTCTTTTATATTTACTTAGTTTGGTAAGTAAAAATTATTATCTTTATTACACCGATTCTCTTCATTGTAACAAGGAGTAATCGCTTTTTAGTCAGTTCACAAGAATCACGCTTCTTAAGTTGGATTCCCCGCAAACTCTAAAGATCGAAAAGAAACAGAGAAATAAGAAGTATTCCTTTCTAATTTTTTTGTTCTGATACTATGAAACGTAGTTGTTTTGCAGGGTACGTTTTAGTAAGATTCAGGCGCCACGACTAGACACCATTTATATATGATGAGTGTTTTTATAAACATACTAATCCTGTTGCAGTATTGATACTAACTAAATTAAAAACTAAATGTAGATGTGTGCTGCACACACACACACAGGCATATAATGCGGTAAAATATGCATGCGTGTGTGGGCACACGAGTTTCGTGTGTATGCGCGTACACACAAGTACGTTTGTGAGACCAGAACACGCTGAATCTTTCAGTCCAACTGTCGCAGCTGGGCTAGACTTGAAATTCTTAGTGTGTATCAATGTGCTTTATGTCCTTGTTCCTGTTCTTGTCCATGTCCTTTTGGATGGGTCAGGGCATGATTCGGCTGAGATTGATGGGACTGTAGAGAGGCATGCTACTTCTGCTCCAACAAAGCAACCTGTTCCCGCCCCGCGACACTCTACCAGGTCGTCCATCGAAACAGATCTAGAGTTCGGAGAAGCTTCCGAAGTCTACTGCAGGCCGTACAGTCTCAAGTATAAAACAAACGAGCAATCGAAGCCGCTCCGAGAAGGGCATTCCCCGGAAAAGAGCAGCCCAAAAAGTAAAATACCGGTGAAAGTAAAGAAATCTATGGATAACGAAACGACGGTGAGCAAAACAATAACCGAGTCGAAGGAACGTAAAACACTAAAATCAGACGACGATCAGCCAAAAGTGACGATAGATTCACTCGCCACGCGGTCGATAGATTTAGTAGAACGCTCTGACAAGTTGTTCGAGGAGCTGTCAGAGGAACCGCTCGGGGAGAAAGAAGCGCGACAACTGGAAGAAGATAAGGAGAAGAGCGATTCGATAAAACCCGAAGTATCGGACGAAACGAGACCTACGACTGAAACAGCAGATATGCGTGACAATTTATTCGATTCTGAGAAGTTCGAACAGATAGGTGAAACCGTAAAGAAAGTAGAGACCGTAACAGTCACGACTAAAGAAGATAAAGAAACAGATTTATCCAGACCGGATAAATTTGTCACGACAGAGACGACGATTGTAGAGAATTTGCCAAGCAGTTACGATAGCGCGACTCGTACAACGATATCGAAGGTTCAGAGAAGCGTCACAGACGAAGTGGTCTCGAGGGAGATCGTGACGAAGACGGTGACGACTGTACGGTGTTTCGCGACCGAATCCATTGACACGGAACAAACGGGACGAATCGCAAGAGCTATGGCGGCTAGTGGCGATTACGGTGATATACCGATGCCAGTTGTAAAAGGCCGTGATAGTTTGCCGTTCAATATCGAACAGCTATCGGCAAAGATCATAAAGAGCACTACCGAGATGTCTGAGCCGTGGGCCCATGGCAGTCTGACAGATCGTTCGTTCCTGAACGACGAGAAAGTAGAGCAATGGGAGAGCCAACTCTCTCAAGACACGTCGCCTAGTTCCGGTAATGGCGACATGTATACTAAAAATGGTAGCTCGCGGCATGATTTAAACAGCGATACTGAAAGTGACGATTCACCACGATCGAGGAGAAGATCTCCAAGCAAGAGGTGTACATTGGGCAGTTCCAGCGGGTCTGATGTAGCACTGCACGAAGGTGCGGAACTGTCCCCGTTGGAGGACGACCAAGGTACCGCACTCACAGCTAACCTTCTAAGTAAGCAATGTACATATCCCGCTAACCAAGTTACCCGAGAGACAGTCAGATCCGAGAACGTGAATTTTGCGGTCTTCTGTATGCTTTTATTGTGGCACGCTTTGTTTGCATGCAACTGCACCTGTTTATCGTTTTTGTTCCAATCTCGGTTTAGCTTGCAAAGTCCGTACTTACTAATTCAGGCCTTTTAAACGATATACGTACGACGTTCGTACGATTTTCTTCGAATTAAGAATAAGTGTTAACATTTGGAAAGGAAATAGATTAGGATGAACTAACTAAGAAGAAAATGTTAGGACGAGCTATAGAAAACTGTATATTTTAAAGGCTTTGGAAACTTAAGGATATTCAGTAAAAAATACAATCATTCGAAATTTATATAAATGATAGATAACTTTATAATTATTACTTTTAAAAGAAATTAAGTCAGTTCTAAATGGAAAGATGGACTTTTAGACAACGAAGATAATTGAATATGGTTTTCTTGCTGATAAATTGCGAAAAAATTGTGTCAGTGGCTAATTTAATATATATATATATTTCTTTTATTTGCACACGATGTTGCATGATATTAAGCTTGCATAACATTTGTAACTGGAGGTGTATTTGCACAAGGTGGAAGAATATTGACCGTATAAAACGATGATAACCATTCGCAAGGAAAAACAAAGCTTGTGAAATGCAGTCGTAAAATCTGCATACGTGTGTGGTTTTTTTATTCTTCGTAAAGTTATCATGGGCGAGTATTACATCATAGGGTTGTTGGTGATCGATTCAATGTGCTTCGTTGAAAGAGAAGTTTTATCCTATTTTTCCCCCCTATCGTTGGTTTTGGTTAAACGGATAAAGTTGCAATCAGGTGCTTCTGGGACTAGCATACTTTTCACATTGATGGTCATTCGTGGTCAAACATTGTACCCGAGGAATTTTTAAAATTACACATATATAAAAAGAAATATCGTATTCTAATTTACTTGTAGAGAAAGAGAGAAACGAATTAAAAAATTGAAAGTATTTATGCATATTGAAAACTTTATCTTATATTATCTTTAGTTACTATAGAAAAATATCATATCACTTTCGAAAATTTAAAACTGAATATCGAATTAAACATTTTTCAAAATTATAAAATATAAGTTTCTTGATAAATTTTGCAAATACCTTCACGCGTACTGATACAAAGATATGATATTACTTTTTAGATTGAATCAGTCCGATATCTTTTACGAAATTCCACATCGATAATATAATACATAATAATACCAATCCATTAATACAAAACGAAATAGCGATGGTACACGTATTAAAGATCACATACACAGGATTTTCCATTTAATCCCAAAACTTTTCAACATACCAAGAATTACACGACGAATATTAATCATTTCACGCGATAAAAATCTACAAGATCTTTTACTATCAGCCTTGAAGTCGCATTAATTGGGTGATCCTATAACGCATTGGCCATATCGTACCTCATATATGTGAAATATCTGTAACAATCCACTAAAAAAATTCAGTGGCAAATCTTTAAAAAAATTCGTTTCGGCTTCGCAAAGTCATCAACAAAAGCTTTACGTTTGGGGTGAATTTAACCCGGATTATCTACAATAATTAATCCTCAAAAGGACATAATTATCGTCAATAACAAGAGGTATAACGCACGCGGAAGTTTCTCAGCTTTCGGGTCATCGATGTTTAAAAACACGAAATATCCTTGTCATGCGACAAAAATAAAAAATCAAAAGCATCGATCGAACACATCGACGCGATGATCGCTGCTATTTTCTTCGCATACTTCGCCCGCTGTTTCTTCATACTAATCACGGCGTGGGATCGCAGAATTCAGTCGAATCAATTTATCAAAAGAGTATACATGCAAATCGGATAGCAAAAAATTCATAGGAGGACGTAATGTTTAAGCGACAGAAACAGACAGTTCGATACAGTCGGTTTGCTCGAGCACACGGCGAAGTACAGTTGAGGGAACACCTAGGACGAAGACTTCCGGTAGAGCGGGCTGCGCATGTTGGATGAGCGTAGCTGCCGCTACATTGGTGGTCCTACTAGCAATAATTCTTGTCTTGGAGCCACGAACGTTCCAACGTGCCATCTACACCCTCTCTAACAATGACCCGAGGCAAACTGGGTACGATTTACCCTTCATTTTATTTATTTCTATTATGAGGAATTTGAATTGGGAAAGATTTAAAATATATAAATTTCTAGATACACCATAAATTGCTATCAAGTTTAAGTTTTACAAAGTTGATACCTCCGTATCAGTTTATTATTAATTTATTAATATTTTCAAGTAGGTTGTTTAGAGTCCATAAATGTTTGATTAAACATTAAATACTTATTCTGTTAATAGAAAGAATGAAACGATTTTAAAGACGCGTAACATATTCAAATGCTGTCACGTTATAGTATTTCGATGTTAGTACTTCTCTAGCAAATATGTGGAATTAAAATTCTTCGTTTGTATGTTATACCTATTCTTAAATTTATTCGAATATTTTAAGTAATAATATGATAATAATGATATGATAACTGAAAGTCGTTGTAAATTAAACATTGATTCTCGAATGAAAAGAAATAAATAAGCATAGTAATACAACGTTTCGTCCCGTGATATAAAATTTAGAAAATTCGTTTTCATCTGTTTTTCATAATTTTACCATAATTAACAGAATATGATATTAGTGTTTGATAAAGATTTATAAAGTATTTCATATATATGTATAGGCTTAGGATTAAAAAAAGAAACCCTCCAACTACACATTTCTAGACACAGTGTTTTAAGAAACAAATGATATTTTTACAGTATGCACAGTCCCAGAGAAGTTGAATATTGACGATTTACATATATGTTTATTCAATATACCGTATAGTAATATTGAAAGCAACAATGGGATAAATACAGGCACACGATTTAATGCTAATTTTAGAGAAACCGTAGACAAATAATAACTGCAGTTATTAAAACTAATTTTCTACTACGTTGGTTTAGCTTTTAATATCTAGAGCATGTAATTGCAAGAATGATAATCATCACGTAGGTATGATATTCAAGAGAGATATAGAGCATCGTACATGTACTTACGAAACAGGTAATAGAGAAAGTATAAATTTTCAAAAGGATTCGTATGCAAGCTTTTTTTTTTCTCACACGTTTGATTGATTCTATCGACGCGACATACCGAATGCTGCATGATTTAAAATATAATCGACACCTCGCATGATACTTTATCGCATTTTATACCAATCTTTAAGTTTGTCTCTTGCAGCGTTTTACAAGGCAATAATTCCACTTTTTCATCCCTCCACGTAATAGCGTTTCTCTACGCCTGATGCACGTACCCAAGAAAAACTAAAATAATAGAGCTCGAATTCTCACATTAATTTCATGCGTCCTATAGTTTTCACTATTTACCCTTTCTAGCTCTTCTGACAATAAGCAACTCAAGATAAAGCTAAAGTGTAGAGGGACCAACAAATCGTATATTTTAGTCACGTTAGGATTGTTAGGCGAATCGTCATGTAAGTAACCTTTATCTATGTACACGTGCGTCTGAACACGAACCATTTTACACCATACAAGATCGCTCGACAGATTGAGTTCCAAATGAACGTTCCACCGCTTCGAAAGGTACTTTTCGTACGGATCGATGCAGCTTGTCAATGCAGAATGTTTATCTTAGAGTTAGATTCTTACCTGTGTGAAACTGGAAACGCCCCAACCTTTGTGTTTAGAGTTTGCAAAAATGTTATTACGCTAATGGCTGAACGATCGCACTAATCGTGTTCGTTCGTCAAATGCACTTCCGACGTGATTCTGTGCAAGTTTACACGGCACTTGTGACGATCCTGTACTTTTCTTCTGATCAAATAATTTCGCGTGTGTTTAAAGATTAATCTTCGATAATTAACGATAGAAGCGCGACTAATTCTAGTGCTAGTACTTTTCTACACTCGTAATCGAGCAGTCAAATTTTTTGAAAAAAGTCAAGCAGTCGTTTGCAAGTTTGATACAAATTTTATGCAATATAAATATTTTTGTAATTTTGTAAAAGTGTAATGTGTTTACTGATCAACCGGATTATACCGCAACCAGAAACTTTCATTTGACATTAACAAAAACGAATTAATTTTCATTTTTGCAAATATAGATATTATATGATTTATTCCTAATAGAAATCAAAATTAGGGGATCTATAAATTAAAAGATTACTTATGTCCAAGAGATTTTGGGCATTAATTAGTTTTCTTCGATTAGCATGTTAAATAAAAGATTCATATTTGTCGAATTCGAAGAAGTTACTTTAAAAGAGATATTCATCCGTTTAAACGTTGAAATAAATATTCGAACACGTGTGTTTTAAATATTTAAAAAGACGTACAAGCCTAATAAATCTACAAATCTTCCTATTTGTAAAATATGTCTTTGAAAGGAAGAGAAATGTTTGGAAGAAAAGTGTTGGAGGAACGCAAATATATGAGAATGCACAAAATTGCCTCTCTTTCATTCCGTTTCCAAGGAAAGCCGATAAATCCAAAACCGTAATAATACTTGCAGTAACACTTGACCGTTCGTCTAACAACACTAACTGATGTAGTTAGTACGCGCCCCTTTAAACTTATTGCCACTATATACAGGGTGTTTCAAAGAGCTACGGTCAAAACGAGAGAGCGTTTTCCTCGGTCGAAAATTGTAAGTACGATACTGTTGATACGATGATAAAGCTCGAACTGTCGACGAGTGTATAATTTGCAAATACTTTTTTCTATCTTAGTCGTTGGAATTTCGAATATACTTTGATATTGATTCTTTATTCATTGGAAATGATTTTTTTTAGAAAAATGTTTACAGTACGAACGAGTAATATATCGTTTTCGTCTAAAAATTTGTTCGACATAGCGTGTATTGACGTAGCGTTTCTGTATCTCCATAGTTTCATGACGATTAAATTAGTATCCTTTTACGTAGGGTAGCGTTTGGTCAAGACTCGATAGACTCGATTTTTAGAATATACGACTTGTAGACTTATCCTTACAAACGTAATCTTACTTATTTTCCACCGAAGAAATCCCCATTTCAGTTTTCACCGTAGTGAATACTCTTCTGTTGTATCGGAAAGTTTTAGTACTTATATATCTTATGACTAACTGCTAAACGCTTTATTATTCAGTAGCTTTTATCAGCGCTTCACACGAGCTCGCTGCGTGCAGCACAGTCCTGCTTACAAGGAAGGTTTCTTTTCGTTTTGCTTTATCAGTGAAACTCCAAGGGATTCTGAAGTAATTGAATCGAAGTAATGTGTGTGCTTTTTGAATAGTCTGTCTTTTTTTCTTTTTTTTTTTTTTTTTTGCAACACAGTTTATCTCAAAAATATATGTTCGTGTAGTAGAATCGATGCACAGTATCCTATGAAATATCCCCGAATAAAGTAAACCATTAATTAAATCATATTTTGTTGCATTCTATATAATAGGATGCGTTTAATACATATAAACGTTGTAGTTATTAATTTATAAATGTTATATTTTGTTACGTAGCGTTACGTAAAAATATAACACGATTGTCTTCCTTCCATTATTCTCAGAACACGAGGATTTTCACCAATGAAAAATCCAAAGAATCGAAACCTATCTTGTGAGAAATATTTTAAACGTGCCTCAGTAATTATATCATACTTAATGATTACAAATTAATCTATATAGACTCTCGAGCGCTGCTATTAGTGCCATAGTACTTGTACTACACGTGACGAAATGGAAATTCGAAGAAGGAGAATTCAAATCAAGATTATTCTGATAATCGTAGATCGCATGCGTAAAGTACTTCATAATCGAGCATATAGGGAGTCGAATATTATATTTCATATGTCATAGTATAATTTCAATGATATATTATTCACTTCCTGTGGCAGACATTATGAACTGAAACATCGTTAAACACGACCATTAAATGAATACGTAAAATATTTATAACGAAACGTTGAGATAATGTACATGAAATGTAAGAAAAGCGGTTGCATAGTTGGCTGAGTGAAAATGCGTATTATATATTATGTATCGTCAAATGTATAGCGATGTTGTTACTTTTTTTATATGTGTCTAGTATTACCCCTTGTTTTGGGCATGATGTAACATTGAAAGATATATACGATTGGTACTTGTATCTATGTGAACCGCTAAAATAGTAAGATATTGTGTATCCCACACGCAGGAACATGTCTTTTCATAAATTCTCATTTGTTACGCAGAATCTGACTTTTTGCAACTTAGCGAGCCATCCTACATGGAAACGACAACGACAGAAGAGGACCCTGAAACTCAGGAAAGGTATTTATAAAACGGAATCATTTTCAACAAATTTCCAGTCAAACTGGGTCAAATTCACTGTATTTGAAAGTGTTATTAATATTTATATTTATAATCTAAAGAATTAGGTCTTCTTAAAAAAAAGAAAAAAAAAAATTGGTGAATTTATTAATACAAGATTCGAAATAAAATAGAATAGAAGTAAAACTCATTATTTGAGTTTAAACATTTTTATTCGTTGTTACATAACTTAAATTAGTTTAATGTCTATAATTGAATAAGCTTAATATATCTTTCATTCATCATGTCATTAGTTTGACTTTGCGTTTAAGATAAACAATGCTAAAATTTACTCCTTTGCAGAATAACGAGAACCGTACACGTAATCACAACGACCAGCGGAACCGCCAGTGGTCCAGACGAATTGCGAGAGTCCATGCAGAAGATCGTCGATCGATTCATGATGGAAGAAAGGCGAGAACAGTGAAGCAACAAGGGTCTCGTGGGCGATTATTGGAACAAGAAGAAATTCCTTGTCATCTGCTAATCGTGCATAATAAAACACGAAAAAAATCAATTATAAAAAAAAGCAAATTCTCTAGCACTAATCAAAGGAAGCACCTGTCTTGTCTGATTTAACGTATCCTCGAACGTTAAACGAGACAATTCTATAAATAAAATAAAAATAAAATCAAAAAATGAAGAGTATCTATCTATCGATATAGATCCTGTTCGCGTCTATATCAAATAATATAGCGAATTATTCTATCGGTGCTTGGTGAAAACACATGAAAAATATGCACGACAATTTACTCTCACACTCATGGCCTATGCTTCGGATTTGCTTGCCTTTCGGTTGCATTAAGTTGCCTTATATATTTACGTTTAATCTTGCGATTAAATAACGTATGTCGTCGCTAGTCCGACTAGCTGACTTCGCTAGTCTTCACTAAGCCAACCCGTCCATGTACAACGCCTTTCTCGTGTTGTTCAAAGCGAAAAAAGAAACAGAAAGAGAAAACTAACGAAGGAGCAAACGCTTACAGGAACAATATGGACAAAAGCAATGAAAGAGAAAAAAAAAAAGAAAGATGAAATCGTAAAAGAAAATATTCGTCTGAGATGCAGGCCCGACCAAACATTACGGCGATATATATTTGATAGACACTTTTGAAATATGGAACAGATACGCGAGATGGAATCGAAAAAGAGCAGATGTTCGGTGACTTTGCATAACTCGCCACTTGGCAGTTCGTTTTAGCTTTAGGATGATTGTATATCTATCCGCGCAATATACCGCTTGATAGGTCAGCAACACTCGTGTCACGTTTTTTGATGATGAACTGCACACATACACACACATACACAGATTCTAAAAGAAGAAACAAATTCTTGTTGTTATTCGAATCATTGGAAATTTGGACAAGGTGCAAAATTGGGGAACTTGTTTGGGAAAGTGCGAACTATGTCCGTCTATCTGCCGATTTGAATAGCTACAAGAAATAAATGTTTTCGTGGATCATAATACAATGTAAATTTAACTTATTTAAAAGAATATTTCCTAACAATTTTTAATTGTATATATGATAATTTCTTAGCGTAACTTATATAAATGTACTATTATACGATTGTAATAATTGCAAGATTAAAACATGAATATTTTATTTATATAGCGGAATCATTGGACAAATGTTACATGCATAAATCTCGAGATTGGAGGGAATGTTAATCGACGATCTATTCTTCGTATCGCGATCGTGTAAATTATTAAAATTATTATAAAAGAAAAAAGAGAAACGAAAGAGGAGGCAAATGGCATGATGACTATAGAGAAAAATGTGTTGTTTAAACTCTTACGACTCGAAACACGTCTTAATATTTAAGCAGCGTTAGCTTTCAATGTATAACACAGTTTTAAAAGGCACAGAAAGGAATCGTATATAGTATGTATTTAAAAGAAAAAATATATATATACATATATACATAAATATACATACTTTAAATAAGCTATTCTATTAATGTATAATATATTGAGAAGATATAATTATGCATCTGAAGTTTATAAATTATTATCTATAATGACTGTTATTCTATGTTTAATAGACTTGCCTAGAGCCTATTTGACCTAAGGACCAAAGGCACAATCACACACGCATCAAAATAAAACATTATGCTCCTATGTACTGTCGTAACATTTATTATATAATTCATTACGGACGTTGCGATACTGGCATTTAAATATTCTGACTGTTACGATACATTATTTGTATTACAAAACAAAAAACTATTTTCCCTTTTACACGAGACGCAAGAAACCAATGTAACACGACGAACTATTATTGCAGTCCATTGACGACAGAATCTTTTTATTCACTGTCATTTTTCTGCAGTATATCAGTACATTTTTTACTAATAACTACTGTCTATACTCTATTGAGTACGTTGATAAAAAATATGCAAATACAGTGTCGACCACGTAACTTCACTGGCTAGTTTATGTTTTTTAGTCCTGTTTTTTCTACTTAAAGTGCAAATAAATCAGATTTACTTGTTTACATATAACGAATTTCGTATAAGTCTGTATCTATAATTTGTCGAATATTGTACGTACAAATTCTATTTCTATTTTATTTCACTTTATTAAAAAAGATTGGTTTAATTAAACACAAATGTCAATATAATATATACATATAATTCTAATGATATATATTTATTAAACATAATATATGCTTATAAGGCAATAATTAAATTCTTAATTCTTAATTGAGAAAAAGTTCAAATTATTTATTCTATATGCTACTTATTTGTCTACAGTATGCAGGTATAATGTATGTATCTTCATAAACTATAAAATCATAATTATAAATCTTTCTCATAAATATTTTCTATAAGCCAGTAATGTTACGCTATAAAAAATACGTACACATTTTGTAATTGCCTAAGCTTATCACCCACTACAAACATTCTTAAATCAAAAACATGGTAGGACAAACCTATTTCATTCCTCAATCCGAACAACTTTAATACGAAGTTATATACGAAATTAAATGTCTGAAACGTTAATTCGTTTGTTTAATTCTAATTTTTACTAATAGTACTTCAGTGAAATGTTGTAACTAATTCTTCTAACGAAATGTACAGGACGATCATAGAACTTGATTTAAATTTATAAGGTAAACGTTGGCACTCTGACTAAAGTTTATAATAGAGTCGTTTTAATATCTTATGATTGTTCTGTTACTGCGATTTCGCGTAAAAACAATTATCAACGTAGATAAAATATGTAGAGATTTGACGTCCTCCCATACCTGCGTTCAAATAAAAATGTATTTAACATTCAGTATCGCATCAGTGCGCTTCTAGCTCTGACGTAATTTTGTATATTTCATGGTTTTGGTTTTATGAATAACGCGTATACACTATGCGGCTACTCTAATTTTCCTCCGCTTTACTCCTACGTAACTAATACAATGTTATATTAAAATTATAAAGCCATTGTACACACGTACGATATCAAAAAGTAACAGAAATGGAAAAAAGGTATGATTTTATCATATACTATTGTGTGATAGAGTTATCAACGACAATGTAATAAATAAACTGTTGCATCACAATTCTTGATGTACTTGTAACAAAAAAGGATGATACATCAAGAATATGAAATTATACCCAACCCTACTTATTATACTTTAGTAATTTTTGTTGTATATCATGATAAATTTTTAAACATGCAAAAGTTAGAAAGTACATGGAGAAAACATTATTGAAATTTCATTGATACTTAAGCATGAAACAATATTAACTACTCAATATTTATGGTATATGGGAATAATTTATTAAATTCCTACTAAATTCTTATTAAATAAGCAAACTTTCATTTCGTATTAACTTTTTGAGGAGAACTGTAATCTTTACATAAATAACTCTTTTTACAGTTAAATGGACTTGAAGGAATTGAATGAATACAGAAAACTTAGTATTTTATATATTTTTATTCGTTGTTAACAGTTGACATTAATTTCATCTAATACATGTTCATGGAATTAATGTTTTATACAGCAGTTAACATGATTTGACTGTATTGACAATTTTTTAATACAAAGTACAGAAGAATGAAATAATATTTGTAAGAAATCTCATATAACGAATAATTTGTTTCTTGAAATAAATATGTGTAATTCTCAGATATGCAGTTCACCTTTTATGGAAATTAGTTTCATCTATGAAAACATTTGAATTCAATATTACATTATTCAAATATTACACTGACCTATTCGAAAATACAATCGCATAATTACATTTTTTGGGAAATTGTACATGTTATGTAACAAATGAGTCAATGAAACGCTTTGATACATATAGAAGTATAATTGCAGTGATGTATGGTGCTCACTACTTCCCCTGTTCAAAATTGCAATGACAGTGCATGTATGTCACTTTATTTAGTTATTAACGAAGAAATATACAAAAGAAATTTACTACAAGAACAATGTACTGATATTATACATAAATACATAACTATTTGTATTCGCAGCTCAATTTGGGCAAACAGCACACTTAAAAGCTTACTCTCTCTAACATTGAACTTTATTCAATGCACATTTTTAGGTTAATTTTAAAAAATTGACATATTTGATACCCATTCAACATGGGATATTATCTCTACCTAAAATCATATGAAAGTAAAAGACAGGCTATATAGTGAATACCATATGTCTAATGACACTTACGAATCCTGAAAATTCAGGATTTCACAATTTTAGATTGCAACACAATATTACACGGACAAGTGAAAATTTATTTATAGATACAAGAAATTGACTACTTATTCCAAAAAAATTTTAATTATCTTAATTGCTCAACAAATAATAGTATCTTGTGAAACAAATAGGTATCTTCATGCACTCTTGTACCATACCTTTTAAATATAGTTATATTGAAGATTATCAGATCTATAAAGCCAAAAATATTTTACTTACAAATAGAATTAAAATTATACAACAAGAAACATATAATTATATTTTGTAAATGTTATTGAAGATATTAGATACTTACATTGTCAACATCATCTTCATCATCATCGCTAATTTCATCACCAAATTCAATATCTTCATCAAAACCATCTTCCACAAAGGTGACAGTATCGTTGATACGCACTGTAAAAATAGAACATGATTTTTAAGTAAATTTCACGAATTTAGCTTATATACTTTCACAGTTTGAACATACATTCATATTTCGAGTATTTTATAGTGATTACTTACCAGTTTCAGGGAATTCACCATAAGTTTTCAAATTCCTTGCTTCATCTGATGTGTATTTTAATATGACATCTGCTTTTGCATCCTGATAATCTCGCAGGCCAATTAATATTATATCTCCTTGATTTATCCATACCTTTTTCCGCAATTTTCCACGAATGTGACACAATCGTTTTACTCCATCAAAGCACATTGCTTCTAACCTCCCATTGCCAAGCATTTTTGTGACTTGTGCGTATTCTACATGAAGCAGTAATATAAAAATTTAGTTGTTCAAAATATGTTTCCTAATTATATGGACTAAACATTTTTTTAAAGTTATAAAACTATTTTATCAATTTAAAATATCGTCTACTTAATATTATTAACATATGGTATCATTTTGAAAAAAATAAACCCAATTCAAAGGATTTAAATAATAAAACACAGATATATATCATAATGTCATTTCTAAGATTTTTACCTTGACCATCTTCTTTAAAAACCAATTCTCTTTTTTCTGTTTCATTTTCATTTTTACCTCTTCTCCTATTTTTACCTCCCTTTCCTAAAAAAAAAAATAAGTTTAAAAATTATTATTCCGATTAATTCTCGTAAATTTTGCAAAAAAAATATTCAACCTCTGTCTATCAACAATATATTCAACGATTCTAAAGAAATACTTGACATTAACAGGTTAGAAGAAACTAACCACATTGTACAGAAAGTCCACGACCTTCTGCACATAATTCTATACAAGTTTTACAAAGGAAAAAAATACAAAGAAACACAATTATTTACGTACCCTTATTTTTCGGCATGTTGATTTGTTAAAAGATGCGTATTTGATAAATATATGAGAAATTCGTACACTACGACCGAGCAAGACAGTCAATACAATGAAAATGAGTCTTGCTCCACTAAACACCTCATGGGAAGACGAAGACTACTCAAAAGTGTCAAGTACACGAAACTCAAAACTATTTTCTTGCACTAATTCTTTAAGTGAGTTAATTTTCCATTATAAAAATTACTTCAAAAATTTGTAAAATACATGATTATACCATTAAGTCCGAAGTTTGTCAAAATTTAGATACAGATTTGACTAATTGTCGGTGATAAGTACAAAGGAAAATATTTAATCACTTTCTAGTGAGAATATAGGGAATGTAGCTTTCTTAAGTTTGGTAACATATCTGTACATATAGGAATATATATTCCGACATCCATGATATAGAATCCAGACGTACATATTTTATGAATTTCGATCGTGATTTCGACATTCATGAAAGTGAAATGCCTGTAGAAATAATCCTCGACCTATATACTAGAAGTAACGAATATAATCTTTATAACTTTCTTAATATATTAAATATTTTATTTTTTGCTACTTTTTTTGTCATTTATTATAATTTTATACAACTGATTTCAATATATTATATGATAAATTAAAAACAAATAAGTCCTTTATTATATTTTATATATGTACATAATGAATTTGTTTCCAATACAAATTACATTTTGTTCTTTATTTTCCTTTCATTAAAATATATTATGAAAATTAAAATTTATTTGAAGAAGTTATTTTATAATTTAATAAATGATATAATCATCATTTTATTGTTGCAAATACGTAGTAAATAATTTGGAAAAGTACAATAATATTGTAACAATATTATAGATATTTTTTTATGGCTTAGATAATAATTGTTATAAAAAAATTTTTACTTGATATACTTTAATATAATTTATTGTTATATTACATTAAAAAGTTAATTATTAGTAAAAAATAAATAAAAACAATATAATTTTAGGCAACGATTTTATTTAACAGTTGGAAGTAATAACATTCTATTACAATTATATTTTGTTAGAATACGTAATTCTTACTTCAGATAAAATCATATAAAAAATTGATAAAAGTGTAATTATTTAAACTACTTTGTTTACAGATACAGAATGGACATTCGTAATTTTTTTTGATATGTATTGAACCGTGCAAGATATTGAAACAAATATTGCAAATAGTTATGCAAAATAACACTTTTCACAGCTATTTTAAGTGAAGACAAAGTCTATAGCTGACATTAATCGCATAAATATTTAATCCAGGTATTTTGTATAATTTAATATGTAATGTTTAACTAAATATATTGATTCATTTTTAGTGGTCATAATATTATAACTGAGAATTACAATTATTGAATCAGTTAATAAAAGATCCAAGCTAATGAAAAATATATTATTATTGCCATTATAGAAGTAACAAGGTATAATTTCTTATGATGTTTGAAAACAGAATATAAATAATTTTTATATAATAATCAAGTATCTTTTATATAGCAAAACGTTCAAATTTATGACTAAATTTTTCTTATTTCCTTTTTTCTAGAAAACTTTCGCATTTATCTCATTTACAACTCTTTATTTACAAGTTTTCAGGCACTGTTCAAATCAATGTGTATACTTTACTATATTACTTTTATCTTACTATCACACAATGCAAGTTTTACAAATGTTATTTAATAACATACAACTGCAGAAGTAGTTCTTTCAATTTCTTCACGTTCTTCCAATGTTATTATTTTATTAAATAATAAATATCTGTTGCGTCAATTATGTACAAACTTAGAAACTTTTGCCACCTGCGGATAAATTTCCAATTGCAATTACAAAATACTTTTCGTCATTGCATCTTTATGAGTTACATATTATTAATAATAATCAATTAATACTTGCAACCTTGCTTTTTATTGTAAATTATAATTATTGCAATAAAAGCATTGCGCAAGCTTGTTTCTCACATGGGAATAAAATAAATGTCTAAGAAAGATGTCTGTTATAAAAATTGAAATAATAAAAAGAAATTGCGGTACGTCTATTTAAAATTTATAAATATAACATAAATAAAAATGACTAACATTAGAACGTTTCAGATACTTTGAAAGGACCCGTATTAACGTTGTTTTAACTAAATTCTACAGATTTCACGCACTGTAACATCAGAACACCTGTCGATGAAGGTATGCTTGCAATGGATTCACGATTACGCAAGTTGTCTTTCTCTCAATAGCGTAAAACGGTAGTTTGTTGTAATACTCTGACGACCAAACATTGAATTCCATAGCGCAAGCACATTCCATGATAAAACCATGGCCTGAAATAATTACGTATACATGTTACGTCATTATTACAATTCACAATCGTATAAATGTGGTTAAATAAAACAAGGAAAAGAAGCAATCAGCTTGAAACTTAAAAATTTGCAAATGAAGGCTACCAGAAAAGAAACCTGATAAGTCATGCGTTTTGTCCATTGTAAAGAAGTGATATTAACATTCGATACAATGTCGACCAATTCTATATTATCTAAATCGTTTTTTTCATTCGATTTGGTTATAAAACACGAGCTCTTACCATCTCTCTATTCTTGAGTATTTTAAAAATATTGATTGCCACAACAGTAGTTACTCTACTGGTTGTATATAAAAATTGTTGAATTTAGTATTAAAAGACAATATATTTTTGCACGACGTAGTTTTTTGAACTAAACATACTTTCTTGAAAACAAAAAAGTTAACAAATATAGACTTATCATGTATCTTCCATGTGATCTTTAAAAGTAGTTAATTTTTTGGAAAATATATAACAAGTTTAAGATTATATTTGTAAAATATAGAATTATAGCTTAAGTAACTTAATTTTTTTTTAATTGGTTATCATTCTTATATGAAATATGTATTTTATACCTGAATGATCGTCAGTGTCTGTCTGTCATAATAATCTTATATTACTTGGACAGCCGTGGTTCATTCTGTATTCCACGTATAGCATTCCAGTATTGTGCCAATAATAAAGAGCCAATACTACCAATGCATGCCACCACTGATGAGACGAACCAATATAATCTACCCACCCTTCAACAAAATAAAACACTAATAATATATCAATCACGCAACAATAATAATAAATTTCGCTATTTATACACGTATCGTTTTATATTCAATTATATCTGTGAAAGCTTCTTTTGTGTCCAACAGAAAGAAATACGTACAAATGCTAGTCATATAATGGTTCGCGAAAATTGTAGTAGCAGTATTTGTTGCACCATCCGTACATTGTTCAATATTTTTGGATATGATACATAATATAGTCCTATAATATTCCAGCAGGTACATTGATACACGAAAGTATTTGAATATTTATAGAAACATTTCCTCAATATACTATGTATGTTATATGAGATATTTTGAAAATTCCACTAGTATTGTAATGAAACATAACTATATGATTATATTAGAAAATTTAGAAACGAATCTGAAAATGTATATAAGAATTAGGATATATTTATAGCAAGCATACACTTCAAAAAGATCATTAAAGTATTTGAATAGTCACTTACTGATTATTAGTAAACCAGAATATTTAATGAGATTATATTTAATGTTAATTATATATTTAGTACCACTACTCATGCTGAATGCAATATGTTTACAATAAATTGTGTGCTAACTTCTATATAGATTTTCGGATTAGTTTTCAATATAATTACGATAATCATGTCTCGTTACACCGCTAATGAAGTTTGGAAAATTTCATATAACAAACCTAATATATTCATACAAATTTCACTCTAGGTATTTTGACACCTATTGCTTACATTTATTGGAAAACTTTAACACATTTTATTTTAATTAGTATTTTATATTATCAGATATATATATATATGATGTGAGAATGAAATAATAATTTTATAATAAAGTAATTTGATAGTAAAAGCACTGCAGGGCATTCGATTCGTATTAAACATTAGCAACTGCTGCATGTAGTAGCATGTACTTAAGGTTTATGATCGGCAGTGTATGCAATGAAAATAAAATTATAGATTGGATGGGAAATATACTCCATATCATGTTTATTCAATTTAACGCTCTCCATTTTAAATTATCGGTCGATTGACGTCAGATAAATTGTATTAAATATTCATACGATCCAACTTCATAACGTTACTAGCAAAGTCTGAATTTCGGATTTTTGTTAATTATGTTATATTTTATTGATTGAATACCTAATAAAACAATGGTTAATTAAAGTTAGTGAAATAATCTATATTATTAAAGACAAAGTTATAATGTTACATAACTTAAGGCGGGTCTTTTATTATAAGTATCTCATTATTTTTATGAGAAGTCCTTTATAACAAAAAATTAGGCATCTAATTTAATTTCAGTATTTTGATTAGAAAATAAAAAATGACTGATTACCTGGACAAAATCGTTCCGGGATTTTGCTTAAATAAATAACGAACGCTACACCGCTAATAACATACATTCCTAGCACCCTTGGAAGCAACATTCTAACGATCGGGTTGTCCATGCCACCCATAGCAATACTCCAATGCAGCGTTGGCAGCACTCCATAAGCTGCCCAAGCGACAAAAACGACTAGCTTGACATTTCCATTGACATTCAATTTTGGTATTTGCAGAATCATTGCAAATATAAAAATTGCCAACACCGTTATCAAATAAAATCTCTGCAACTCCTGCATGAAATAATAAATATTTACGACTGTTTAGTAATAATAAATAATTTCTTCTACATGAAAGAAACCTTTATTTTTTAATTTAATTTGTATTTTAATATTAACAAATTCTGGTATAAATGTTATACGAGGATGTTTAATTAAATAAAAATAGCCATTATGTTTATTTAATGACATTCTTAGTACTTTGATTATTATTTTTACTTTATACGTGTTTACTTTGTTCGGATAGTATATCGAATAATATTTTCTTTCGTTCAAAGAAAATTTTACTTTCACCGGTTCTTATAAATAGTCGATAATACACGTAGCACGAAGCTTCTTAAACAAGTCAGTTATATCGATTACCTTATCGATCGTCTAAGTAGAGAAGAAGTTAACGTGCGCAATATTTGATTAAAATCTAGATTTGAATCTAAACTTTTAAATACTACCTTTGACGATACATAATTTAGAAGTTGTATGATAATTGATAATAGTTTATTTACCTTGTGACACCAAAAAGCGTAGTAAACTCCAGACATATATATGGATAAAAGACTCAAAGCAATGCCAAATAGGTCAAATGATAGAAAACACCAATAATCTTTTTCACTTCGGCAGGAAAACGTGTGGTACACCGAAGATAATATCATACACGCCTGAAACAGTTCATTTTGTACTCTTTCTTAATTTGTCATATGTTAAACAATTTATTTTTGTAAATTTGTAATAGCGAATACTCGAATTGTTACGATTGAAAAAGACATTTTCTGAATATTACCTGGAAACAGATCAGTAGAAGTGCTACTATCACTTTGTCACCAAAGGGTGCGTGAATATTTAGTAGACAAAGATCGTACAGAGTCAGACCGAAAAATAACATCCATCCGAATATGTGACTCCATATGTTTACTGTTTCATTTGTCCACCAGAATATACTGAAATAAATATTCCCCTTTTCGAAATTGTTTTTGTGCATTCAAGACATAAGTAATGATTTATTTTTTATTTACAACACGGATTAACTGTAGATTAAAATTATCAAACGAATATTATAAGCGATCATTAGAAAAAGACTTTTATTATTGGAAAAGATTTAGAAATCCTTTCAAATTATTTATTATGTATTCTTATACAGTGTGTAATTCGAGTTCTTAACCTTTCGTATTACATATATACCTACAAATAATAGCTACATATCATTTAAAAAATGTAAATACGACTGAACGTGAGATTTTGTGGAAAATATGTATGGTTCTCCTGTATTATCGGAAGTGTTTCTAACGTTTCATACGTATCGAGAAATCATATTGATATCGAGTAATGTTAAGTACGAACCTCTCGATACATAATTTTGTTGTAAGATATCCTCGATATCCGTGACGAATATAAGGATTATGTTGAAGATATTCAGGAGCTTCTTCATAATTAAGAAGACGTCTCATTTTCTCTTCATCGTCAAGCGTAATCTTTTTATCTTTTATAGGTGACTCGTCCACCTTTCTGGAAAGCCTACGGTATACCTGAAAGGAATTACAACTACATCTAAGTACTTCTATTAACAATTGTATTTGTGTTGGAATATTTTTTCACAAGAACTTTACAAAACAAGGTTTTTTTATTAGTAATGTTAAAAGATCTTGTTCTTTTAGATACTCTTATTTTTAAATATTAAGTTAGGCTAACTAAACTGTGGACGATGAAAGTAGTATTGAAAGTATTGTAGCTTTTTAATTGAATAATTAAGTCGGTGAAATGGTGAAAAATTCTAAAGAGTATTCAGAGCAAAATGTACCCAACATTTTTCAATCTTAAAAAAAATAATTTCGATCTTAGAAAATGTTATATCATGTATTATACTTGTATATTTTATACTTTACGCAATGGTAATTAATAATAGTAATGATATTATATTATTTTAATCAAGAGTGAGTTATTCCTGTCAACTTAACACTTCGCTAGTTTGTAACGATAATAAATTCATTTGTTATATCTTTTCTTCTATATCAACAGAATATTATGTAACGTCGGTACTATAGATGGGGGTTTTTACAATAGATAGATCTATGTAAACTAATAAGAAGGAATGCACATTGACATAAATATAAGTATATACGTGGCGTTAATATGGATGTAAAAATTTATATGTATATGAAAATATATATATATATATACGATTTGTAGTAATCCTAACTTTGTTAAGACCAAACTAGAGTGAAAGTTTATCACTGGACTTAGGTAATACTTTACATAATTTTGTAGATAAAATGTGTGTAATGTTTAGATTTATTATTATTTCCAGGTTACATCAGGGTAGTAAAAAATTCTACGTTATATTGGTTTATGACCTATAGCTGTAATTTACGATAAAGCTTTTTGTATGATCATATAATAATGAAAACACGTTCTATAAGAATCGACAAATATTTACATTTATAAACAAATACTACGTTGTAAACACATTATAAATAAACAGAAGATATTTTTATGCCTCTGAAATTCGTAGCGAACTGGAATAACACTAATATATACATTGTGCAATCAGTATCTGTTATTTCGTTATTAAATACACTTTAATCTGAGTCATTTTTATTATATAACTTAGTAGACTAAAAGCTAGTTAAAAAGAGCCATGTTACATTAAATATTTACATTATATCTAAGCAAAATATCAAATGTTTACATCATATCCGTGACGAAGACACGAGATAATTCATTGATAAATGTTTGTCTTTGTATATCATCAGTAGCTGATTTAACCAGATCGTTCGGTGATTTATGAATATCCGATTTAACCAATATAAAAATGCAGACGAATGACAGAATTTCTTCTATAATATAGAAATTTCTAATAATTCATTTATAATATTTGCATTCGCGCATCATTAACAGTTAATTCAATCAGATAGTTTATATAATTTAAACAGAATGAAAAGGCAATTGAATGTCAGAATTTCTTTTACAACTTACAAATTTAATCAGATGAGTTTCTCTGCGAATTATTTGCGTTTCTTTGTAAACCTGATAGTTTTCATTGCAATTAAGCATATCACGTATAATAGATCATAGGCAATCTCAGAATATAAGAGCAAAAATTTGGTCGCTATCTTGAGATACGAAAGCTGTAAAGTAGGCCACAACGGGACTTGCCTTTCATCTCAGTGTGTCAAGTTTATACTACGGGCTTTCTTCTCTATCTTTCCTGTATCTTTCACTAGCGAAATCGATTTTTCACTTCGGCATAGCAGCTCTAGTACTACTTGGTACCAGCCTTGCTATTTTCTTCATCCGCAGCTAGTATAGTTATGTATGTATTATGTCTGTTTACCATGATGATTGCAACGTGTCGCGAAACTTTCAAACAATCTTAAGCCTTCACTATAATAAACATATTAATAAACGTAAAAAAAAACACACAGTTCAAATCGCCAATATCCTGTGATCATTTCGTAATTAAGATATTTAAAAATCGATGTTTCTTTCATTTTTTCATGGTATTATTGATCTTCTAATTGCAATTGAAGCGAAAGCTCTTTCCGTGAAAACAAACACTTTCAGTCAAATTAATTACAGTAGATTTTTCATTGTTCTAACTCGTATTACCAGAACATGATTTCACAGTAAAAGAGATATAAGATCCATAAATATCTAAAGAAATATTATATACAGATATATCGTCTCACTTTCTACTGTTATTACTGATCTTTTCGTTTCTGCGATATAAAACAATCGCTAGACTGTGAATATTCATGCAATTTCATATTTTTATAAACATAGACGGAAGAATTAAACCTAAACAAAGATTCGCTTAATTTATTAAATATTACCTAATGAACAATTATTTTCAACATATTATATATTTCTTCGTATAACGCGTATTCTGTACATTTTAAATTTTCCATGAAATTTCGATCGTCCGTTTTATTCCCAAACCCAGAATTTTTATTTTTCGATAACAATTTCAAGCAAAATTATGCAGAGAAAAAGTGTTAATACTGCCCGATGATTCGTTGTTTGTATTGGAAGTTCATCGTTAACCTTGATAGGTATGGAATCACGTTAAAGCAGAATCATACACGTCGGTGAACAACCTATATGCTCGGAAATGCATATCGACGTTTTGCAAAGCTGAAGGTTTTATACGTCAAACAGAAATAGAGCATACCAGGCACAACACAATTGTAGAATACGCTACTGTGTGATCTAACAGTAATTACGGACCAGTCAAAGTGAAAGTTGTGGCTGGAATACGCGCGATGTTTTTTCGCAAAAAGTCTCGGCCATTTTCGTTTCATATGACTATTCTATTCTATTTCCGATAAACATAACTGACATTATACAAAATTTTTATTTTCATCTCACGTTAAACAACGTTCTGTACCAAGCTTCAACTTAAAACATATAATAATAAAACTCAAAACATGCAATTACATCCTTTCGACTGATTATCTACTTAGTTGCAGAAGATTTTGCCAAGAAAGAAAAGATATCGTCTGTCGGTCTCTCAACTTTTTATTGTTTTAAATAACTCATTGTCGGAATCTATTATCTTATCTCGAAGAACGAAACATATATTTGCCATGAATAAATATAAATGATAAATAAATACGAGTAGTAATAATTATAAAACGTGCGCTTACCTCGCCGTTAATCAACTTCATCGTTTCTTGCGTGACATCTGTTTTTTGTTGCTTTTCATGGTTGTTATTGTGCAGTTCCTCATTGTTCGACTGCTTCTCGCTTTGGTCGCTTACCTCTTCCACGCCTGCTAATAATTTCATCATTGAACAAATTCGGCTATCTTCTAGTCTGTAAATAGAAAAGAAGATTAAGCGACAATTTTAACCAAACATGATGCATTGATACCGTAAAGTACATAAGCTTTATTTTATAAAGCATGTTCGTGAATACAGTCAAATTACAAATTAAAACGTGTACGGCCGTGATGATATAGATTTGTTCGCGTTAGCCTTGACTTGAGTTAATAAGTTAGATTACTAGCAAATTTCAATAAGTTAATCTTTTCTTCGTTGTTAATGGCATAATTGTTAAAACGCAAATAATATAGCCTAATCTACTTCGTTTATCTTAAAACGAGAATTGACTACTTTCATAGCACCGGTTTATTTTTTAATTTATTCCGAAGGTTTATTATACGTTTGAAACATTTTTTAGCTGCTGTGAAGATTTCTAAATTAGTTAGAAAATTATCACTCTGACACGTTAGACACTCAAGAACGCTATTTAAGTCAATTAAGTTTCAAATATGAACATGGTGCTTCACGTGCTGATAGGATGAATTACAAGCATATACACGTGTAATGCAAATATGTGGATATCATCATAAAACACTGAATACAAAATTATAGTATACTGAACCGGATTTCTCAACACGAATATACAATTGGAACGTATGGATAAAAAATCCAATTGGGTGGTGCAGTGTTAAATTCTCGTTAAGGAGTCATTCGAGGTACTTTTTAAGTCGAATAGAAGTGCCATCAAAATATAACGTTTATTTCATTATGCTCGTTAATGTATTCGTGTTTCATTGCATTCACTCGTGATTTTCAATGCTTCTTTATCAGTCACGATGATCCGTGTGGCTTTAATATCAACCATACGACACAGGAGGAAGGTTTCCAACTGGTCTCCAAGCGGTTTTGAAATCTTCATCGAACAAAATCTCGTGCACGCGATTATCCTTTTACACGCGAATTCTTTGCAAAAAATAAGATACTACAAAGCTGACACGAGATGTCAAGAAAAAAGATGTCGTAAAAGTCCAAAGTTTTTAAGTTTTTAAGTATCTGTACCTGCCACTACTACGGATATAGCTAGAAATTTGTGTCATCGAGAAGGAAGCTGTCAAACGCCAGATGGAAACAATGTAACAAGAAAATTACAAACCACGGTAAACGAGCTGCATTTTTTAATGTCTCATTTTTTGCCGAACCGTTCTCAATGAACACGTATATTATGCATGAAAGTGACCGCAATTCGACCGAATTTTTTTTTCTCCGGCATAAATGCCGATTCTCTTAAATCGTAAACTTTCGAAACATGTTCGGTAAGGAATATCCGGGAAACTATGATTTACAATAGTCTGGTTATTTTGTGTGTTTACAAGACATCTGTTCACTCTCTCTTGCGTACCGAACAATCTTTCGTGTTTAATCTATGAGAAAGTTGAATGCGCCCTGTGGAACCTGTTAATAATGTCTATTCTGCGCTTCCGTTTTCAGATGAGTGCTATAGTTGGTAATTCTGTATTAAGATATTTTCTTGTACAGATTTTATTATATACCATACTCGTTATTTTATTTATTTTCTTTGTTTTTTTATTAATTTTCTTTATTTATCGTGAAATATATGTGTAAGTGAAAATGAAAAAATGTCAATCTTCTTTCGTCCGTGTTATAATATCCGTTTGAAATACATTAGAGTGCGTGGAAATTAGTAAAATAAAGTTTAACGATAAATTTATGAATTTAATATTATACGCAATAGTACTTTTTATTTTATTCGATTTAGGTAAACTTTTAGATTCTCTGTCTTTAGATTCTCAATATTTCAAATAGCTTGTTCTTCCTAACACACTTTCTCTCTATGAATTTTATATCGCATAGCCATATGATATGTTAATAAATAAATGATAGATTTAGTATGTCACACGAATAAAGTTAGATTTAGAAGTACAAAATATATATCTAAAATGGGTTTATCTAAAAGTTCTGGTATTTAAAAGTGGAATTTAAACGAACGGACATGTTAAACCTTAGTTTCTCATTCAGCACTTAAACCGCTTAAACAAAAGTAATCATCGTGCATATTTAATTTCATGTTAGATACACGCATCAATATCCTCAAACATTATCTTCATACTTAAATAAAAACCAGAGTGTATAAGGAGCAAGAGGTCGAGTAGTCTTCCACTTAATTCAATTTTTAGTCCGCACAATTCATAATTAAAATTAATTAATAATTATCAAGAAATTAAGATTCTTGCATCGTAATCTTAATTTCGTTCATCTACATTGATAACAATCAACCAATCGCTACGTGTACGTATTCTAACCAAAACTAAAATATTTATTTATCGTTACTTTATAATGAACAACATATAAAAACGTTTTCATTAAAAGACAGAGAATATATCTACAAAATTTGTGAGTGAAATATTTTATAAAAAAGAAAAAATACACGTAATGATGATATTTATAATTTTTACCAATATTTCAAATATTCGTTTCGGTATTCATCACTTGTTAGCTCGAAAGTATAATGCTCTTTGCAAAGCTGGCAACGAATACGACGACGACGTAGAAAATATGGCCCGTTTACGTTGTCACATTACGCTCGGTCATGTAACACAATGTAATTTGTTAGTGAAAACTCTCAGTGAAGAATCAGTCGTTGGATGAATGCGTGCGTTTGTTCGTAAACATAAAGCGTGTTCTCGACGAGTGAACGCGACACCGCAGCTCGAATATGTACGCTAATTGCAATACCAGCGTGATATATACCACTTTCAAATGATTTAAAACGTCTTCTCTTTGTTAAGCTCTGGCAATGATCGCGAACAACGTGTCTGACTATCGTTACTTTTAATGCTACGTACCACTTGGCTGCGGCTTGTCGTCTGATTGAGAAGCCCTCGCGATACGCGTTTATTGAGCGATCGCAATCAACGTTTTGAAAAGGTCGCGGCGGGTGCAGGAAGTCGGCCGATTGTCGATCTATCGGCACATTCTTCTCACAATCGTGTATCCACCAGCAGCGAAGTCACCTTATTCTCAACCTCGATCGCCGAGCGTGCCGAGAACAGCACTGACACTGAACAAACCGCACCGTAACCAGACGGTCCAAAGCGCCGCTCGATAGATCGAAACACGTTCTCGTACTACAGACTAGCGATGGACTCGAGTTTTTATATTTACTTCGTCTCTTCGTGCCAATCTTACTTTTCTGCTTACGCATACAGTAACACGCATGAACATTCGAATACCACGGTATTCGCAAGATTATTGTCCTATATATATATATATATATATATTTGTTTACAGCAACGTTGTTGAATTAATTGTTTTTTAATATATTAAAAAACTTATGGTAATTAGTAGAAACGTAAGTTTTATTTATTTATTTTGCATATTAAGCAATAAATTAAATAAGGTCAGAATTTAAATATACATATATTAATTATACATATTTTAAGTATGTAGATTGTATAGTGTACACATATGTTTTATGTGTTTTATTATTTGATTTTATGTAAAATCAGATATTAATTAATATGACGTGTTTCATATATTTCATGTTAAATTTCGACGTTACTTGGTTTATCTCTTGTGATGCAAAAAACTGTGCACAACAGATAAAATGTGTGTATTAGCTGGAATAAATTGATATATTAAAAAGAATTAAAATTAAAAGAATTAGAATTTAGCAATGCTGTTATAAACAAATATATGAATCCCAAATACCAAAATATTGATAAGAGTCATTTTATGCTCAATTATATTATCGTTGGTATTCTTGACAGTATACGTATTAGTATATACATGTATCTAACTCTGCTACGTTCTTTTCGTCATTTTCGTTTCAATTATACTTTTCTTATGAAAAAGGATATCTTCACAGTCTGGCCAAACTATGAAAAATGTCTCATGTGTATTTCCTCGTTTCAACTGTATGTTAAACGTCTTCTTGAAACATTACAAATTCTTTTTTTGACTAATATGAGAGCAAGATTGAAGTATAAAAATTCGAAGATCGTAGCAAAGTTACAGACAACATAGAAGAATATTTTAAAATATAACTGGTCTATATTTTGATTTTTTGGCTGTTGTGTCACTTGACGACTAAAAACGAAGTGTTAAATTGTAAAACCAACATTCTTAATTCAAATATATATTATTAAATCACTTCAATTTTCTTAAAATATTTCTGCCTTCCAATTGCTATTGTTTTATCGCTTGCATATATTTCAAAATTTTTGCGGATTTTATTGAAACATTTATCTTTTTACATTTTTTACATAAAATTATTAAATTAAAATTACTAGTTGAGAGATATGTGTTATTGAACATTGCCGTGCTATGAATATTTTTGAAGGTCATGTGCGTGAGAAAAACATTTTGAAAGAATAGAAACTGATTAGCAACAGGTGTAAATCTATTAACATTACACATACATATCTTAACAGAACACTTAGATATGAATATTATTGGATCAGGTATAAGTTCGTTTTCTCAAACTTTCTATTCTTCTTAATGTATGATCTAAGATAAAGAGTACATTCTCCATGCATCAAGAAGATACCTATTATATCGTTATTATAATGTAAATATTAAAATTCAGAGGTTTATTGACATAATTGATAAAATTTAAGACTTTGGAAAAATCAAAAAGATGTTTGTGTTTCGGTGACTAAATAATGTGAGTAGACGTTCCATAAATTCTTTATATATTATGATGCTAAAAGTAGAATTATAATAAATAAAAAGTATTATGCGTCACTAACGAATATACAAATACTAATACGGAAATTTTGATTATTAATCTATTTTTTATTTGCTGAAACTACTTATTACTAATTCATAAATCCACATTCTACGTGACTGAAGAAAAGATATGCATAGTATACATTGAAGTTATAGGATGATGTTTGATAACAGATTTATAAATTGTTTAAATTTTCATTCTTAAATTTTAACTGAGATGTATACATTTTGGCAATACATATACTGCACAATAAATATTATTTTTGCAATGATCATATATCTGCAAAATGTTTTTCGAGGCTTCTTTAAATATTTTCTATAAATATTCCAATGTATATTATGTAACTTTCGCGATAAAAACTAAATTTCTTCCGTTTCTTTCGAAATTTCAATTTCTATTGCATTCTATATTTTCAAAAATCATAACAGGAACAGCTTTCGATCGAATTAATTTTCAATAAGTAAAAATAAAATGAAATCAAATGTTTAAATTAGATCAAGTAAAAGAAGTGAATTCGCATTCGACTTATTTCGTTTATTAATGAACTGATATTATCGTTCGATATTATTAGTTCTATTATCTACATTATCAATAATTTAATTTTTAATCATTATAACTGGCATTGTAGCTGAATTAATTTCAAAATTCTCCAAAACATTCGTGCTGAGACATTAACTAGACTACTAACTCGAAAAAAGTGATTAAACATGATTTGAAATGGATGAATTTTAGCTGGATTCGTGTTTCTATCGAGTTTTTTTTCAAAGAATCTTGTTGAACGGGCAAAGATATTCTTATCTCTATCATTAACTACATTGCTTTAGCAGGTTTCTGCTAACACTGCGGTCAAGAACAGCCACGGCAAAAGGGGAAAAGCATTGCTACTTTCACCGCTTCATAGTTTTTTCAACATATCTAAAGATCCTACAACGTATACGAACGGAGTCCGTTCATTGTGAAAGTCTGACAAAGACATCTACTACTTCCAAGTCTGATTATACAAAAGGTCCTTTATTTGTTTCAATTTCGTCATACATTGATCCTGTATCCTATACGGTGGCGAAACTTTGGATCAATCAGCTACACCAGTTCTATTTCTGAAAATTCTTTTTATCCTGGGAGTTTGAAAACTAAGAAAGATAATTCCCAAATATTTACAATATACCTTCTTTTCTCTTTAAATGCGTAATGGATTGTATTTAAAATTAACAAGGAACTCTTATTTCAGAAGCATTAAATTGTCGATTTTGCGAAATCTAAATTAGATCATGGAGTATATTACAGATTTTAAATATGCAGAGAAAAAACAATAATATCAGTAATATGTAGAATGTAGGTTTATATAGAATTTAGAACAGAACGAAAATAACAAAACAATTCTTTTATAGCCGATAATTATGGTTATAAGTGATTAGAATGATTATACCTTATCATCATGTGAAATTTATTATATAAAGGGCTAATGCTAAAATAATAATAATTAATTATAATATGTATAATAATAATTACACATGAGATGTGATAATAATAATTAATTACACATGAGTAGTTTTCCTTCTAATAGAGATGAACGATGATCCACTTTCCGAGGCAAATATTTAAATACCTGATTTGCCGCGCATTTTTAGTTGTAATTAAATTACAGTAGTAGACGTTCGTATGAGACAAAATCGACATTAACAAGTGATATACCATATTACATACTAATCGATTTGTCTTTTCTAGGCTTCGTACTTGCTCCGTGAGCTTGCCATATTTTAAGCACCGATTACATTCAAGACTTGCTCGTTAACGCACTTTACACTGTTCGCAAGACAAAATCGTTTACTTACTTTCTAATTAAGTGACCATCTTTACGATATTTCGGATTGTATTCGTTTTCTATGATTAAAAGCCGAAACACTGGTAGCACCAACGAAAGGTGCATTGTTCCTAGATTAATTTGAACAAACTAACAATAAACATGTTGAATGACAACACGTCCTTTTCTTCCCGTAAAAATTGCGTTAAATGGATTTTAGAAACAATTTGATATCTCATTGGAATCCTTTGCAGCCACAATATATAGGAAAATATGTAACTACCGAAAACATATCGTGAGTACTTGAGGGAACTAAAATCTACTTAACGGTTATTTTTCTCGTACGGTATAAGAGTTTGTAATATAATAATAGGACGTGAGAGAGAGAAGAGAGAGAAAAAGAGAAAGTGAGAGAGAGAAGGTACTTATACTTATATTGTGGATGAAAAGGAAGCTTAAGACAAATACTAAATAATAATAAAAAATTATCGCTTAAAGAAAAATTTACACGCAAAACAATAATAAACGCATTGATTCGAGAGTAAAACATAGCGACGGGCGAATTCTTAATTCGCAAGGTACGACGCATGACTTTACTGATAATTATAATGACGCACTATTATGAAATGAATTCATAGGATTTTACAAATCCATTGTTAAGCTCCAGGGCTCATTAAAACATTTCTTAATTACTTCGTAATATGTTTTAGGTAAGAATTTAAATAAAACGTATTTCGCTTTCATCATTTATCGATAAATAGTGACATCGATAACTACATTTTTTATACCTAAATAAAGCCAAACGACGTCAATTTCACGTCATAAGAAATCGTGAATGCCTTTGATTGATATCAATATCGCACGGGCCCATGAACGGCAGGTACTTATGTCGCGGTCAGTTAAGTCACCAAAACTTTTTTATTTTGTATATGTTGAATTATTTCAAAATGTATAGTCCAATTTATCGATTAACGATATGCATAATTAAATTGCTACACACACACAGGAACCAAACCATAAATTTCGAGTTACTCGTAGAATTTGTTAGATAGGTAAGGAATTTTAATAATTGAACAAAACATACAGGTATAGTTTCAGTAGTATTTATATATAGCCCAGTCTTACAAAAAAGTGACCGTATCGTTCCAAGGGACGGGCAAACATTGCTCACCTGCGTTAAGACTAACAATAGGTGTACTGTCAGTTCAAGGTTTTCATTTCACTGAGAAAGTAGGTATATAATGTTGCGATATTATAAGCACAATAATTAAAAATTAAACTATTAAATTCAAATACAAATCCTACTTTCACTCTCCTATATTTTACTTCCATTTTTATTTATGAAAATCAAAGCGGACATGTTTCTTTTTTTCCTGATTTATATATATATATATATAATGTTATGTGACCACCTTTTAAATTGCCTTAATTGCCATTGTGGCAACGTCTCAATATTCGCAGGCCTCTCGGGACGAAGGGAACTTCAGTTTGATCACGTTTGTCTGAGCATTCTTCGAGCCCGAGTATTGGCTTAAGTTTTAAAGTAGACGAGCCATAGCTAATTTCAATCGGTGCTGATGCATAAGTGGCAATAGGCTGGGGCTGTTTGTTGGTGGCTTTTGGATGTTGAAGTCAACGGAGATTGGCGCATCACATGGCATACTTGCGCGTCCATTCACGTGCCAATTCATTGTACTTCTCCCTGTCAGTTTTATATAACCTTGCTATCTCTGGTACCAGCGGGTCATCTGGATTTGGATCGCAGAGCAGGGAGCATATTGATAGTAAAACTAAAAAAGCAACAGAGAATTTTCTCTCTTAAAGACTATCTTAAAACTTTAGATTTCATAAAAATTTTATTTCATTAGTTTTATGTTCACATTGTGTTCAAAAGTTTGTACACACCCTTTGATATGGTAAGTGCTGGGGACCATTGCGATCTTAAAATGTCCAAACAAATACTCCCATTACTGTTGATATTTGGATGATAAATTCTAGTTGTAAAAGCAACCTGCATATATACATAAGGAATTAATATGCCTCTTGTATATTGTTATAGAAGGAGTTATTGAAAAAGTAATTAACATACCTTAGGTGGTTTGAATGGATAATCTGTGGGGAAATGAATTGTAAGGAAAAACACTCCTCCTTGGTATGGACTGTCAGGCTGAAAATAATATTTACTCCTAATTATGTGATAATATTTAATTGTAAATACTTTGAACATATATAGTGTAGCTTTTATTTATATTCATAATAAAAGATTTTATTTAAATTATATTTAATAAAGTTAAATTATGAATTAGTTTGCAATATTAATATTAATAAAAAGTAGTAAACATAATTATTCTAAATGTAAAAACCAAATAATAATTATATTATACTACTATCATATCATAATAGGATTATATGACTTAACAGAATTAGAGGTGATTCATAAAATCTTGTTGAAACATCATAGTAAAGATAACATGCATTAGGTTTTATATTTTTAAGTAGAATTGTTAGTCATAAGTAACATAATATGAGTTTCATTATTTTAGAAGTTACCTTTAAGTATCAGAGTGAAAGCGAAGATACTTGAAAATAATACTCACAAATTATATTTATATGTTCATTAATAATTCTAAGAATGTACTTTTAAGTTAATAAATATTAATCTAATTAATTCAGAAATAGTATTAAGATCATTATATACTTACTGGTCCCATAATAGTTGCTTGCCAATGGAATACTGAAAGCAATTACACGATTAGATATAGAAATTACAGTTCACTACAAATCATAATTGATCATCATAAAAATTAAAAATCATTTAATATATAATTATAGCAACATCAAAAAATTATATAATTTGTAAAAATGATCAGTAATAATGAAAAAATAGTTCCAGTTACCATTGATAATAATTAACATATATCTTTTAGAAAAACAAATGCAATAATGTGCTTTTACATAAAGTATAATAACAATTATACTAGTGATGCAGGCAAATTATGATTTGCCAATTTCTAGTTGAAGCACATGCAGAAACAAATACTTTCAAAGAACTTACAATCGTCTCCCACAGGACCGGCGGAGCATTGCGCAGGTGGATCTCTACCAAGGTCCTGAAGTTCCTAAATATACCAACAAATTTTAGTAACATAAATAAAGAGTTTCTCTGAGGAATATGTGTATATAATATAAATGAAGTTATAATTATAAATAATTCGTATTTTATATATAATAATTCATATTTCTAATACATAACTTGTTCTACTTATTCTATGTTTCCATGTTGAAGAAGTTGTTATATTTTAAACTAATTTTTTTTTTTAAATAATACATTCTACTAATAACATAATCTTCATACAGTGCATGATGAAATTTTAAGTTTTACGATGTATATATCTATAGATGTATAGATTATATGTGAAACATGTGTAAACAAAGTATTCTAGAACATTCTTACATACATGTATACAGGATGTTTCACTTTTATGCTGCCAAATGGTATCAGCACGTTCTATGATTAAAAATAAGACAAAAATGTTATATAAACATAGTTATAAATGCTCAATTACAAAGTTATAACAAAGATACCAAAATTATAAATAACTGGTTTCTTGTTTGATTTTATACGGAACAACCTCATAGGTCAATTTAGTATTTACAAGAACAGACAAAACTTTGAACAAGAACTTTAGTAAACATGGTCAACCATGAGAATTCAGATCAACCAACAAAGAGGATTCAGTCATTTATAAATTTGGCATCTTTATTATAACTTTGTAATAAGACACGTACAATCCTATGTTTATATAACATTCTTTTTCTTATTTTTAATCATAGAATATAGTGACATTACTTGGTGGGATAAAAATGAAACACCCTGTACACCTGTACATATAAGATACAAATAAATTAGAAGATTTTATATAATATACAAATCCATAAATATACAGTATAATTTAATCATTTATATCATATACTTTGAAAAACTTCAACTTCTTTATATACAAGATTATCATCCAAAGATACTATAATAGTAGTATTATAAGATAAAATAATGCAAAGTATCAATACAGATATTAAAATATAGCCATAAAGTTATAGTGAAGTTATAATAATTTGGAGGATTAATTCAAACGAATACTACTTAATGATATGATAAAACAAAGTACGACTACGGATTTAAATACCTGAAGTACTTGTTACACAAATACTTGTAATAAGCATATGGTTACAGAATCAAAGCTAAGATAAATGACATATCACTTTGTACTTAGTATGATTACTCATTATGATTATAGTATATTATATGATTACTCATAGAACAATGCATCCAGAACTTTCTATTTTTTGTCCTGCTACTGTGAATAATGGTTCGGTTAAAAAATATTATAACGACTGACAGGTCAAATTGTTGGTAGACATTACAAAAAGTATATCAATCCCTAAATGATTCACTTTATCCAACTAATGTGTGCTACAGTCACATGGTGAAAATTATATTGAGCTATGATACAAATAGGTGATGGATCACTTAGAAAATTTCTAATGCTATTTCCATCCACAAATGAAATATGAATGCTCTAATGAAATTTTCATAATTTCTAAGTTATCTATAGTTTCATGCATATATGTATATATGAGTAAACATATATGTATACATAGATGTAATGCACGGTTTTACGTTACTTCCGGCAATTTATCGGCTAGCCACTTAAAATTTTTTCAGATTTTCACTGTCACCGTAGCTACGTCCACTGGCACAAAGTGGCACTGTGCAACGTGCATAATGCACTATGTCGACATAAACGGGTACGCAAGTAAATCAAAGCACAACCGAAGAATGCAAAAAAAAAGGGAAAAGCCAACATGATTTTCAATGCTGGCTCACATTGCTTCACTGCAAAATCGTTAAGGGCGTTCAACCGCATTCGACACACATCACATCAACACCCGATTGTCTTTGTACAATACGAACACCTCTGATCATTCACGTACCTTATTAATTCGTTTTAAAGCCATTTGTTGAACTGTGTGTTGATATTAACCGGCTGAAAATCAGACAGCGATAGCCGCTAGCCGAAGATCTTTGATTAGGGATTGCAAGATGGCTGCCTTCTAAACGTAGCCTTACCGCGTTGGTCAAATCAGTATCCGTCAGCTATTTCTGCACCTTCTCCTCCATATTTAACCAAAGTATTTGTGATTGTACTTATGATTATTTTAACAGATAAATTTTATAGTGGAAACATTTTAATAAAAAATAATATTATTATGTTTTCTTTTACACCTTTTATTGTGAAATTAAGCCAGAGACTTCACGGATTTCCTTTTATCGGCAACTAGTGGATTTTTAACATTATACTATCATTTCTCGGTAGATGTCGTGATGAGAGGTACAAATGATTGGCCAATGCGCGTGATTAAACGAATTCTGCTTTTAGTATGTATGTATTGTATATATTGTACTATATATGTGCATATATACATTGACACTGATACTAATTGTAAGTATTTACATCAGTTTAACAATGATCATATAAATTTGAAATACATTCTATTCAGTTATCACCTTAGGCCGTTTCCTTTCTTTAAAGGAAGTATAGTAACTAACCTAAAATAATTAAATCTATATTTCGGAATAATTAAACTGAAATACAAAGGAAATAATGGGGGAAAAATTGTTATTACTATATAAATTATACACTTTGTGTGCTTATCTAAGTATGACATCACCTGTTCCAAGAAATTATTTTTCTCACTACATACATATATATACCCGATTAATAATGATATATATGGCAAAACAAAACAAACTACGTTGATCCCAATTATAACACTAGGTTAGATAAGATAGATAAAATTAACAAGTCATATCGAAATATCAATACACATCTTAATATTATTGAATGTGAAATACGTATATTTCACAATATCCTATTATTATGACTGACAATAAAAGGAAAATAGCAGGCTGTACATGCATTCAACAAAAGTTGCACAGGCAACAACGGAGAGATCAATGCAAAAGGAAGAGACAAACATTCGTATATAATCCAGAGGAGGAAATGTGGCATGAACCGTATTTAAGGGACTTACGCAAAGAATTTTCAGATGTGTCTATATTGTGTGATTCGAAGATCGAATTGCCATGGAAGGATATCGCGTTACCAGCAGCCGGCATGAAAATTCGTCAAGAAGTTTCGTTAACTCCTTTGAACGATCGTAATGGACAAACGGATGACACAGATGTTGACAAAGAACCAGTGGAAAAAGAATCTCTGGGAACTATGCTTTTACCATGGAAAGATTTGATTATTACGGAAACCTTACCATCAAAACAAGACAGCCCCGATAGTTGCGATTCTACACTAGAAATTCCATGGAGTGATCTTGTACTCGAGAAGCCAATGGATATACAGCCAGTGCAGGAAGAAGCTTGCGTTACTGACGATGTCGAGATTCCATGGAATGACATTTTAATACCGCGAAATATAGTGATCGAATCACAAAAGAAGAAACATCCATCTTCGAAGTATCCACCTCGCTCATTGGTAGGAGCGAAGGGTGTTAAATGCTGTTGTGTCAGTGTTGGATGCAAATTGTAGAATGAACTTTACAACGAGTTGTAAATAATTTATAAATTTCCGATAAAAGACTGAAATATGAACTTTTATTAGGTTATATTTTTTAAATACTTTGGTTTTATTGATTTTTAATGTCCCATATTTTCTTTAAAAATACATAAAATTTGTCGAATTTCGGTAGAAATTTTTATATTATGAAAAATTTATTTAGTTTCAAGAAGTACAATGAAATTATTTCATATTATAAATTACGCTATATGTTTTATAGGATCCTAAAAATTAATATACATACATGTAAATCAAAAACTCGAAGATTAACTTCTAGGAATTATTCCATATTTAGAAATTTATGTACGTACTATATACGTATATGTATAAAAAGTATATATCAGATTGCGCAAGTCCTTACAACTACAAGGTCGTTCGGAATCTTTCTCATTAGGTTATTTTTAACTGATCGAAGACGTTTAACACGTGGTTTATATCACGATACGGAAATACATACAATGTATTGATACAAAATAAAAATAATATTTTTATCAACTATGTATATATTTTTTCTTGCTTTGTTTATACATGTTGATAAATACAAAATAACATACACATAAAGACCGTTAACAAAGGTAAAAAAATTTATCGTCATTTACATTACCGACGGAAGTCAAGTTGCGATTCAAATACATAAATTGCCTGATGGCGTTAGTGTAACGAAACGTTGGGTAGCCATGATTATTATTTGCTTGATGTTCGTGATTGGCGGCAGTCGGCTCTTGCCAGTGGACGCGAACGGTGGTTTGTTCGTATTGTAGTTAAGTCGACAGCTGCACATGAAAATGGCGTAGTAAGGTGGTATAATGCCGTAATTCTGATCGCATAAATGTTCCGCGAGAAGTTTTGAACAGCGAACAGGGATTTACCACTTGACTTTTCAAACATCTGTAACGATACCGTCCAGTCGAGAGCATTGTGATTAATTTGATAGCTCCGCTTATTCTAATAGCAGCGTGAAATGTGTATTGTGTGTTGGTGACTTGTACTGTGATTTGACAACGCATGTGTTCGAGTTCCTCGTAACGTTTTGAAGTTCGTATGGAAGTGTACAGGCTCGATTAAGCTAACGTGATTAGATCTTCATGAGGGAAACACAAAAATGGCATTTACACTTGAGAGAAATCGTGAATTTTTCCTCGTGACAGCTTGACGACCTCGACTCCAGACGAGTTCAAGATGGCGCCACCGGCATTTTGACACTTGCACAAGATTCGTCAGCTGGATTTTACAACCGTTCCGAGCTTCGATTATTATGAGCAGAGAATTTTACGTTCCTTGTACACCTTACGCTTATCAGGTAAGTGAATTATCGCTTGTCATTTTTCGTGGTAATCGCACGGTGACACAATGTGTCCGGTAACCACTGCTTCCTGCATCGCCATGTCCTCCCAATCGAGTATGTATGTACTCCAAATTGTTAATTTCTTTCGATAACCTGTAAGCATTTGTTTTTCATTTTTCATACATAATATTCAGTACTGAAAAATTCATTTACCGTAAACGCTTTGGAAATGAATGCGTTTGATACAATTCGATTATACTCTGTTCCCGATATAGATAATAGTGATAGTTATTTCTTGGCAATGTCGTATAGGCTCGTTTGATACAAACTGTCATAATCACGTGAAATTTAGGCGAAACAGTGCATAATAAGATATCACTCGTGTAAGATATACGTAACTCGATGTACCACGACTTCTTTTTTTTTTGGTTAGTTTCGTTTGAAAGTACATACATCAAATAGTGTCTTGTAACGTAGCAATTCACCGATTACTATTTAAATGTTGAAGTTGTAATAAGAGCGAAGGAAAACAACGAAGGTGATATCAACGAAAAAGTGACGGTCGATAAAAACCGACGGGTAATGTCAAATCGCACGATGTGAAAATTGACAAGTAACAAGGTCTACGCCTAGTTTCCGTGTACCTCTTCGTGGATTTTTTGACTTTCACTATGAGTGATGGGCCTTCATCGGAAAACGTGGCGGAAAATAACGCCTCCATGGCGAACAACGGGGGGGAATTACACTCGCAGGGTTCCATTGACAAACGTGTTAAAGATATGAGTCTGTCTATCGTGAGTAACATAACCAAGAAGGTGAGTGAGACCTTAAACTTGGATGCTTGACACTCAGAAAATTCTGTTTACTTTTAATAAATTTGATATTCTTATAAATGAATAATTCTCCTGTTTGCGAATGCAATTTCATCTTATTTGCATTAGTCGTAATCTTTTATGAATTTGTTATAATATCGTTTGTAGTTCGGTTACTTAAGTATAAAGCGGTGCTATTATTTACCTTTAAGAAAATTCCCAGTTTATATATGTTTTACTTTTGTATTATTTTATTTTATTATAGATGTACGATATCTTTAAATTATTTTATTAATTATACATATATGTATGTGATTTTCTTAATTTGCTGCTTTATATTTGTTATATTGCATTGTGAGTGTTTTTAAAAAGAAATGTAATGTAATTGGCGTGTAATAATTTATTTACAAATTTGAATGCCGTTTAGATTAACTAGCAAAGAAAGTATTATTTATTGAAGTTATTAGTCTTATTTATTTTTATCATTAAATAATTCAAGTAGTATCTAACGCCACATCGAAAAATGTATTTAATAATTTTATTTCAATATTAACGTTATTACTTGGTTAGATTTATGAAATCTCTATAAAATGATTTTTATATTTATTAATATTTAACTAAAAATGCGTAAAGTACCATTTTATTTAAAAATCGAAAAAGGAAATATGCAAAATTCTATTAGAAAGAAAAATATCCATATAAGTTATATTAATATACAAAGCAGCAAATGTAGAAATATCATCCGTATCCAAATGTTAAATCAGTAATCACTAATATTCGCATAACAAAAAATTTGCGAACGAACTGTTCTGTAGCATGCACTTGTTAATTTGGTTTAATTTAATTTCTCGTTCCGGCCTTTATAAGTTTCGGGTAAAGAAAATGTTTTTGAGCATTTATATTTATTTAACAATTTGAATGTCTCACGTGCCGCGATATTTCGTCTTGCTTTTCAACGAAACCTCGTTTAGCGATCATAACGAACAGCTCAGATTGAAGCTACCGAATGCCGCTTCCTACCTGAAACGTTTGGTGAGATTGAAGAATGGAGGAAAACTCGAATCCGAGAGGGAAATGATCGATGGCGCTTCTGAAGTATCTGAAATCACGGAAAGTATGTTAACTCACGTGATGCTAGAAGTCTCGAGTGGTAAATTATTATTATACTTGGTCGTTAACCTAAGCGTATTCCATAAAAGAATTTATCTTCCATGGACGACAAAGCTTTCGTTTCTCTTCTTCGCAAAGCATTTAATCTTTAGTTTAAACTAACAATCAAATAGAAAATTTCATTATCGTTCAGTTATGATAAGTTAAATGTTGTCTTCTTGCAGGCGGCTTGTTTTTATATTTCTTAAAATATAAAACTTATATTTTCTTTTCTAGACTTCAATATCTTTTGCGTAGAACTTATGTTTACGTAAGTAGGTAGAAAGTTTTAGTTAAACTCTTTCTTCTTATGCGTGTGAAGACAACGAAGATTTTGTGGCAAATGTCCTCAACTAGTTTCTTTATTTTTATTTTTACATCATTTAAACGCCATATTAAAATTGCATAGGATCTTATCTTGGATATCTATCTTCAGGCAAATTGAAACGTTTTCAGATTATCGTTAGAAGTTGCTTTATTTGTTATCGTTATAGATATGTCAGGAACTTTTCCCCAATAAGAAATATTGCATTCGTCATACAAATAGGTACTCCATTACAGTATCAAAAATACATTAAAGGCGATACTGTCACAATTTTTTCAATTTTTACCATAAAATAATTCATTCGGAATAACTCGCGTTAATTTATAGGGAATAGCCAGCGTACATTTTTAATAAACACGATTTAACAATATCAAAGTAATACGTGTATAGTAACAAACTAATACTATTGAAATTAATCACTAAATAGTGTGCGTTAATAAAGCAACGACTATTATTCAATTTCTCTTTCTCCACATCCCATAGTCATTCAATTTATTAATGATAATTGTGTGTTCCAAATATAAGCATGTACTTTCACGATCTTTGCTGCTCAGTGTCATTTCAATATTGAAAATTTCTATCTGGCAGTTCATTTATTTGAAAATCTACCGATATAAAATCAAATATTGATAGTTGTCGTGTTTTATATCTGTCTGTATAAAACCGTTGACGAGCTGCAATTTGTTAGTGTCGATCAATGAACAGGATATACCGGCAGACAGGGATTCGGTCGACTGGCCGGAGAGTCATGTGGTCGAAACAAGGTGGTACGAAACTCCCAGTGACCCTTCGAATCCTGAAGGACCTTCCACTTCCACCGTGCACACGGACGACAATACAAGTATTTTCAATCGTTGATTACGATGGTAGAGTAGGGTTTGACCCTCTCATGCGGGCTTATTGATTCTCCTATAGTGATTTTTGTGTTTAATGATTCATACATTAGCTCCCTTATGCCTTTTATTTCTTTATTTATTCTTTTGTTATTCCACTTTTATTAGATTTCTACGAAAATATATTGTAGATGTTTTCTATATTCGAGAAGAAAGTAACCATAATGAATTTATTGAAAGATTGTCGATGTATTGATTTATTTTTAATGAAACGTTTTCGCAAGAATTCATCGTTAAATTACATTGTTTGATATTTATTCTGTATATCGTATAACACGTAGATACTATAGAATTTATTGGATAAATTTCGGTTGCATTCATAAAATCACAAAATATACTGAATGGGTTGTCCCACAAATGCGACTATATAAAATATATAAAGTCATAACACACATTTTTACATACAGTGCACGTAAATACAATTTTAATTGCGTTTCGCGTTTATTCAACAAATTCATTTTTTAAGTAAAACAGAAATTAACGCGGCATATACATATATGTTTTCTTTTTTCAATATTCGTTTGTCTCATAATATTTTTACGTTCCTTAAATGAATTTCTACCGGTAAGAACGTTTCTCCCATGTTTCCTTCTTTTCTCATTCTCTTTCCATCACGGCTTACGCGACTCGGAAATCGAGTACGATATAAAGTTCATCGATTCGTGCGTCATGAAATCTAGTCGGGCTTCCTTGCAGGCGAATACCCGGCGATCGCTACAGTAGCACAAACTCAACCTGTTCAAACGATTTCAAATTCTGTGACCACCACCGAAGCAATGACTACAAATGGAATTTTTGTGAGTGTACTGAACCGCGACGCTGTCGCGGCGAGGAACATTATGCAGTTTAGGGAAGCCTTGTCTTCGCAGATCGGGTAAATTCGATAATTATTAATCAACGATAAAGCTGCGACCAAACTTTAATATCCTATATGTTTTTCACAAAACCATTCGAAAAAGAATAGTGTTTCTATTAACAATAATTAGTTAGAGAAATGTTCCCTCCCACAGACTGAGTTCAATTCTCGAGCAGTTCAATTTGACTACAAAGGGTTTTGAACAGTGTATTTATGTTTCGTTTTTTATTTCAAAGAAAAGTAGTTCACGTTTTCGAATATTCTCCGAATTGCCATAAAGTTTGAGATGCCAGTGAACCGTGTAAACATCGCATTCAGAAGGACTACAATATTTGTATTCTTTAGATCGCAAGCGGAAAGGCTTAGAGACCAAGAGACTCGAAGCGTTCCGTTGGTCTATATTCAAAGTGAAGATCGTCACGAGCTTTATCTGCAGAGCACCGTAAACGGTGAAAGTGGATTTAGTGGATCGAGTACGATCGGGTAAGCGTTTTGTGAACTCGAAAATTACAGTGTGATTTAAATGATAGTCCGAGTTCGATCGATTATTTAATCCGCGTCGTGAGGTTCCGAACGCGAGCTTCCTTCGTTTCTTGAACCATATGCCGTTAGCATTTCTGTCCTCGACACAAAATAATACCAATGTTTAATCGTTTTTCATTATAAACAGATATTATAATCTACGAACAATAAAGACACAGTTCGTGTAATTAAATTAGCCGGAAACATGTTATCTTATCAGTGTCTTAATTGTTTTAGCCAGAAATTGTAATAATAATTACATATAATTATACAGTTGCAAACATTTTTATCCAGAATGCTAATTTATACACTATCATTTCTCTTTGTTATCTGTTGTAAGCAATTTGCAAAATGCTAGATTTGTTCTTTTATAGATTTCACATTTGTATCTGTACTATTGAATAATGGTTTATTGTATACAAGCAATTGTGTGTTTAAGAGGATAATAATTACAAAGACGAAGCTATTTTGGAGGCAGTTAGTAGGATCAGAAATTGTTATTTTTATCTACTTTTCTCTTAAAATTTCTGAGAAATTTTATTTTCCTTTGAAATATAATTACAGGTAAATTTTGTCGAAGTTAACGTTCCAACATCTCGGTACTCTGAAACTGCACGCGAAACGCATTAATTAGTCGCGGGTGCCGTTTCGAGGTTGTGTTGTAACTCGGTGACTCGTGTCGCGTTGCTTAACGTCGAATGGCCTCACGAATTTCCGATGCGCTCGAGACTACTTACTTGATAGCGTGAGAGCGCGTTATAATCGAACGTGGTGTGTTGAAAATTAAGTGAATTATTTAGCTATTACTTCATTATATCCATATATGCGTGTATGTGTGCGCATGTAGCATTATTTATTGACTATAGATATACAGGGTGGTTGGTAACTGGTGATACAAGCGGCAAGGGGGTGATTCTACGCGAAAAAAGAAGTCGAAAATGTAGAATAAAAATTTTTCGTTTGATGCTTTGTTTTCGAGAAAATCGACTTTGAATTTTCGCTCGGTACGCGTGCGGTACGTTATAACGGCTCTCACTGTAGATCGTTGTCTCGATGGAAAAATTAAAAAAAAAAATAAAAATTGTTATTCTATATTTTCGACTTCTTTTTTTGCGTAGAATAA